AAGAATAAATTGAATTCTCGCTCATACGGCTTCATCAGGAATTGATGAATTTATTCAATTTGTTCAATCAACAGCATCATAGAAATGCAGTGCGCCAAATGCAAAGACGCAGCGTTAAAAGCGCAAAAGTAGCAATCTGCAATGCACATCAGACAATCCTGGACAGTATAAACTCTGTGACGAATTCATGTCGTGATGAGATCGGAGACAAGGAGAAATATTAATTAATAATATTAATTAATATGACTTATAAGATAGTTCACTAGTTGTTATGTTGTTTTCGTTCACCCTTTTTAAAATTCACGTCATTGTATCTTTATTTGTTTGTTTTTTACTCATTTTATTTCCTGATATTTCCTAAAACATTTTTCATTTTTGGAGAAAGATTATTATGTCACAACTTATTTTTGCTTGATTGAAATGCTGATGTAGGCCTATGTCACTGGCGTACTGGTGGGGGGGGGGGAGCTTGGGGGCGCTAGTCCCCCCCCCCAAAAAAAAATAACATCCAACCATGACTAATTTTCAATTTCATACAAGTGATTTATATATGTTTGTGATATCACATGATTTTCAACAAAATTCACATTTCTCCATTTCTGTTTCAAACTGACACATTCCCAAATAGTCAGGAAGAGCATATATTTTGTACAGTCACTAATGGGCCTAATTAGTGGCAGTTAACACTAACAGTAGTATACAATTCCTTTCTAGAAGCTATTGCGACAAGCACTCGGGCTGTGCATGCAAAAATTTGCTTCTCTAATAATACGTACATCATGTGGGGAAACTGAATTCAGACAACGATTAATATAGAGAACAGTACAACGAATCGTCTTCTTTCTCTAATAATTTAGTGAAACGGCAAAGCTTCCGCGCTACGCGCGGGATGGGCGAAAATGAATACAGACAAGGATTAAGAGTAATAATTAATTGAAACGTCAAAGGTTCCACGGGAGGGCGGGGGGAATTGCGCTCAGACAAGGACACGGTACAACGAATTGTCTTCTTTCTCTAATAATTTAATGAAACGTCAAAGCTTCCGCGCTTCGCGCGGGAGGGGGAAACTGAATTCAGACAAGTCGAGAATGGTACATCGAATCATCTTCTTTTTTTAATAATCTAATGAAACGTCAGAGCTTCCGCGCTACGCGCGGAGGGAGGGGAACTTGACTCAAACAAGGATTAAGAGTCGAGAACGGTCCAACGAATCGTCTTCTTTTTCTAATAGTTTAATGAAACGTAAAAGCATCCGCGCTTAGCGCTGGATGGGCGGGGGGAATTGCGCTCAGACAGGGACACGATACAACGAATCGTCTTTTTTCTCTAATAATTTAATGAAACGTCAAAGCTTCCGCGCTTCGCGCAGAAGGGGGGAAACTGAATTCAGACAAGGATTAAGAGTCTAGAATGGTACATCGAATCATCTTCTTTCCTTAATAATCTAATGAAACGTCAGAGCTTCCGCGCTATGCGCGGAGGTCGGGGAACTTGATTCAAAATTCAAACAAGAATTAAGAGTCGAGAACGGTCCAACGAATCGTTTTCTTTCTCTAATAATTTAATGAAACGTCAAAGCTTCCGCGCTTCGCGGGGGAGGGGGAAAACTCCCCCCCCCCTCCCTGCACCAAACCCCCTAAAGAGCGCGCTTTGTAAGTGATTCCCACGCTTTGCGTGCTCACTACCGCCCCCCTAAAATGAAATCCTGGCTACGCGCTTGGGGAGGGGGTGCAATCTGCCACACGCTTCAACCTCGTGGTTGCTTTGATCCATTGCCGAAAATATTATGGCACCTATCATCCCCCCCCCCCCCAACCACGGACACAAATCGACACCCTTGCAGGGAGTATTGATTGAAATAATTCAATAAAAACATTATACAACACACATGTAGACCAATACGGATGCTATGGTGCTCCTCTACTCTATTGTACTCTATCAGGCTGTCTTTTTGTACATTAATTATGCTTTTAAGTTATTAACGCACATATTATCCTCGCCGCTTGCTTTCCCTGGTTTCAGATGTGATAAGGCTTGGGTCATATCTTTTGAAGACAAAGTGATGTTTGAGTGCTCTGTAGAATTTTCATTGTCAGCCACCTCTCTGTCCATATTAACTGAATCTGAAGGACCAATTTTAGACGTTGAAAGTTCCCAGCAGTAGGTTTCCCATCCTTTGTGATCAAGATGACCACTGTAAGATTGACCCTAAAGTAATTGATTAAACTGAAGATAGAGAGCCTGATGAAAACTTTTGTTCTTTGATGAGTTTATGAAATAATTTCTTGTCAGTGGGACTTGCAGATTCTATGTCATGCAGTAATTTCATTTTGGTATTTGTATTAGTCATATCATGAACCCTTTGGGGTAGGGTCAAAGATAAATGCAGCAGTCTTGATGAAGGAAAGTGGCCACATCAACATAAATTACATGACATGGAGATGATCAAAAGAAACTGTTTTACCAAATTTACACTGAACAAATCATATTGGACGGAAGCATGCACTGAACATATAGACGGATAGACAGTGACTAACGTTACGAATACCTTATAGTAACATTAAACGTAATACGTACATCAGTGGCGAATCCAAGGAGGGAGCCGGGGGCCCCGCCCCCCCCCCCCTCCCCCTGGAAAAAAAACGTGTAAAAACACGTGAACTTGAGCTTTTTAGGGGGGATGGCCCCCTCCCCTGGCGATCAAGGGGGGGGGGGTGCAAATTTTCAAATTTTGGAGGGCCCCACCCCCCCCCCCTCCCCCCAACCCACTAAGGGACTTCTCGGCCGGCGCCATTTTTAAATTTTCAGGAGGAAAAAAAAACTGTCTGTTTACAGTCAATATTAATATTATAATGCTGTACATTTTCTATTATGTTACAATATAAAGAAAACCGTTTTGATGTTTGCTTTTGAAAAGAGTTTTGTTCAAAACGCATTCATCTACCGACTCTCAGTTGGTGAATAATTATGCTTTCGTCCCTTTAACTTTAATGCAGGTTGGATTCAAATGTATAGGTTGAATTTTTGGATGATATAATACAATTTTTTACACAACAGCCTAGCCGTTTTAGAAAGATATTCTCTGCGCGCGGCTGGTGAATGAATTTAGTACTACATAGATTGACATCAGTAGTAAAACAGTTTTCAGGGTCTCCAATAATAAATTGTTGTCATGTCAGTGGTGGCGGATCCAGGGTGTGGGGGCAAATCGGCCATGACCAACCCTATTGGCGGCCTAAAATTAGGGGAAGAAGGGAAGAGAGAGCGGCAGAAGAAAAAAACGGAAAAAGAAAGAGAAAAGAAGGTAAAAGAGAGAAAGAAAGCAAAAAAAGAAAGAGAGAGTGATAAATACATTTTTTTTTTAAATCGCTACACTGAGAAACGGGTCGGCAACGTATTGGATGGAATGGGTAACCCACCCCCGGCCCGCCACTCAGTGTTATTTAGGGTACGTATATTCGTGTTCCCTCCTTTTGAAAACACCCCCTAATTCCGGTGTGTAAAGTCAATTTTGTGTATGTACGAGCCGGACTTTGGTGCGTGAAAAGTACCCCTTTACCGGACATTTTGGTAACACGCATGCGGTCATTCCGGCCCGGAGTGGGGTGGGGGGGGGGGCCACCCCACCACAAGCTATTTGTAATGCATACGTAGGGGAAAGTGAGGTAAGATGAGCCTTGGTGGGTAAGTTGAGCCACCCCTTGTTACTAGAAAACTGTACGAAGTGAAAGCAGGTTTGCGCCCTCAGGACATTAAGGACATCAATTTACATCGCTGGAACTACCTTTGTCACATGGGGGCAGAATGATAAGAAATTTGTCGTTATTTTGGGGTTTTACACAATGTACCCAATTGGGATCTATCTAAATTGCTTGTTGTAAATATATGCTTAGATTAAAGCGGATTTTCGTGTAAAAATCTGGGAGCCTCATTATACTGTAAACAAAAAATGCTTTGTCAAGTTTGCAAAATGGCGTGTGTGGGGTAAGATGGGACTTTCCGTTGGGGCAAGTTGAGCCCTGGCTTAACCAGTGTGTGGCTCATCTTACCCCTGTGTAAATAATTGTGTACTTTTTAAAACATTAAAGTTAAAAAGGAAGAAATGATGGTTGACAGCAATACATGTCTCGATGTACATGTAATAAGTATAAGTATAAGTATTTGGTGTTATTCCAATAATTTCATTTCAGATGCCAGAATGCCACGAAATAAACGGATCAACCTACCCCATGAAATGCATTTGATGATTCTACTTCTACAAGTAACCTTGCTCACAGCCTAACGAATTTACTTCTCTAAATCAAAAACATTGTGTTACTGGTTGTGTATGTAGTGTATTTGTATTCCTCTTCTTAGTTTATAGTATGTAAACGATATGGGTTTACTCATACACCCTGACTGTTTTAACACAAAGAGAGAAAGAGAGAGACAAAAGAGTGACTTTGCATGGAAACCACACAAATCTAGGTCCGATCCCCATTAGTCATACCATGATATACGGACTGGCACACTCTGCATATCACAGTATCGTAGGTGAATGAAATATTTTATACGGCAGGGCTTGTAACAACGGTAAAATAGAAAAATAAAAAATAAAGGAACGTTCTGAAAGGAAACGTACCGTGATTCAAATCCTTTGTAATGGTGTTCACGCTGGTAGATTTTATATTGAGACAAAAAATTATGATCACTGATTGTGACTTTAGGAGCGTGGGTGCTTAGAAGCTCAAAAACTTGTTTGTCGAATAGATTCTTTAGAGTAAAACTACAATGGAAAAACTATTTGAAGTGTAAGCATGTCCAAATTTGGGTATTACTTCGTTTCGTTTTGATACAAACATTCCTCGCTGGTGAAAAACACACGGGTCCGTATTCAATACTTCAGTTGTTGACACTTCAAATGATCAGATTAGATTCGTCCGTCCCCGGTACATAAGATTCCGTATATTCTCATCCTTCATTACTCAGTTAATGACTCACAGATTACATCAATAACAATCTTTATGGAAAAGCCTGCCAGACCGACCAAGCCAGCTTTTATTCGAATTGTATCTTTTTGAACAATCATGAACAATCTTTGTTATTATATCATTTTGAACATCAAAATAATTTCAATTTTTTAAACTCATTCTTGATTCTGAAAATATCAAGTGTAAATATTGTTAACATTGCATAATTTCAATCTCAATCGTCAACGTTCATACCTCAATATATACTGACATTGTATAGAATAAAATATTAATTTTGATCCCTAACCTGCATGGGGCTTTGCCTTTTTCCCCCACGCCCGGACCGATTCCCTAGGTTGAAAAAACCAGAGATAAACTAAATAAGGCAAATGCTCTGGAAAAACCTAATGGCAAATCGTCCCAATAAAAATAATCTATTTGAATCTCTAAACCTCCTACAAAAACAAACACCAAACTATTGTTCTGTATTAAAATTTCCACTTGAAATTTGTGTCGTGTATCTAGTGTCTGACAAAGCTAGAATGGCTACCACGCCCATTTCCCTCTCTTATTATGCCTTTCTGAACATTCCTTTCCTTCTCAAAACAATAACTTACACCTGCCTAAGTTATTCAAACCATCCCGCTTCGCGGAATCATGGCGTCTCGCCACTCCCATTACGTAATCATTAAACGGATCCGCATATACAACATTTTCCTGCTATACGTTGTACCGCAGGAAAATACAAGTATATTCTCATCCTTCATTACTCAGTTAATGACTCACAGATTACATCAATAACAATCTTTATGGAAAAGCCTGCCAGACCGACCTAGATGTAAAAAAGAACGGGTGCATTTCCTTGTAGCACACTGAACAATTTAACAAAAAAATATTTAACAATCTATTCCAATTTAATCCGTCTCAAGATTTAAATGATCATCTTTCTTGAATATCCTTTTTGTCGAATATCCCTTTCTGATTATTTAACAAAACATAATCACTTAACCGTTATTTGCAGAAAAAATGTATTACATGAATTCATATAACGATTACTCTTTCCTTTTTTTCATTACTCTTCTTTAATAAAAAAAAAAAACATATTGTCGGACTGTTTTTCCAAGACAATTCATACTCCACATCCAAAATAAACACGTTTCCTATGATGGAAAACATTCATAATATGCCTAAAGCATTAAGGATTTTGTCACCTCAAGTTTATTATCTAATGTATCTACAACATATCCATCCTTCGCTTTATCTGTCTTCCAACGACCATGTATTTTCCACAATCTGTCTTTAGTTGATGTATTAGCAACCATAGTGGCTCCACCTGCCCTCAGTGAATGCAATCCGAGATTTGCATCCCCACATACTTCTTTCAACAAAGAAATTACCCTCTCTCTAGCTGTCGTGTAACTTAAAGGTTTGTCTTTCCTTATAAGCGCACTAACTCCTTTAGACCTGTATGCCGGTTTAAAGAAAAAATGATTGGAATCTAAAGAAATCCGAGCCACATTGATATACTTCTTTACCATTTTGACCGGACAAGCTTCTGTCACACCGGCACTAATGACTACACTATTACCTTGTCTATACTGATCTGTCTTACTCTTAGCAATATTAAGAGAAATATAATCATCATAAATTGACACATCATTACACTTCAAAGATCTTGCTTCATCATATCTAAGAAACCCCGTGAAACACAAAATTAATAATGTTAAGTCTCTGAGCAAAATTGCGTCCTCTGTATGAACATGCTTCTTACATAGCTCTTTAACTTGATCTGAAGTAACTGGATCTTTCTTGTTTACTTTTTTCTTGCATTGCCGTTTGGCAGATTCCAACAAATTCTTTACAAAACAATTGTCTGTGGGATCCCTGAACCCTCTAAGACTATGAGCCCACTTAATGGCGTATACAGCACCTTCTATGACACTCGATGAATGTCCTTTGTCAATAAGATGAGTCACATATAGGGCGACGTGAATAGATTCAGCTGGAAGAGAATTCCCTCCTTCTGCACTGATGAATAGATCCCATCGGTTAAATGCTGCGAAATACTTCTTGTTCGTGTTTTCGCTTCTCGATTTAATGATATACGATGACATCTGTTCTGCCAGCTGGATGAACTTTGATGACGTAACTTGAGCTCGCTTCATCTCTTCCTTAACGGCGGTCCTTACACCTAGTGCTGTATGTAAAAATTAAAAACAAATCAAAATGCAATTTCCATTGCAACCATACCAAACCTGTATCTCTGATTACCAAAAATACCGTTATTTCCTCTTCCTTTCTTCGTTATGCCAGAATCAAAAAATTCAACTTCCCTAATAAAGTGCACAAACTCCCCATTATGGCTTATTTTGGGCCAAAAAGGCGCAGATTTCCAAACTGGTACAATGAGAGTACCTTGCGCTTTTTCCTTCATTATTTTTACTATAGTCTGTCCGACTAGTCTTGGTGGCGGCACCCACCAATTTCTGCCTTCCTTCCAACTTTGACTGAAAGCATCAATACCGTTCGTTTGGCTACACCACCATCTGGAGTTGAATTTTGTACATTTAGCATTGTACTCGTTAGCAAATCTATCGATATCATATGGACCCCATTTCGAATCCAAGTATCCGAATATCTCATCTGTGATAAACCAATCATCACTATCTCCTCTCCTACTTAAATTATCAGCTTTGCAATTTGTTTCTCTCCTTATCCATACTGGATCTACAGTAATATTGCTAGATTCACATTTATTATGAATACTGATAGCCTGTTCTTGCAATTCACTCTTCTTACTGCCCTTCTTTAGTATAGACACAACATTCTTATTGTCTGTGTTCAACTGAACATTCTGCCCCTTCAGTTCTCTTTCAAATGAAAACAAAGTTCGTTTCATGGCTTCTAATTCTCTCCAAGTGGAGCTCTTAACGGCTTCTACGTTTGACCAACTGCCCACAAGCTCTAAATCTTCTTTCTCGGCTACAAATCCGCCAAAACCTGTTTCAGAAGCATCTGTAAACATGGTATATGCGACAAACGGCAACCTCTTTATCTCTATCCCGTTTATTCTTTCAACATGGTGCAACCAGAATTTCAATTCGTCTTTTGCTTCTCTTCCGACCTTTATCGGTGCCTGCCAACTGGCCTTCGTGTTCAGACTGTTACAAATATTCCTTGTTCTTATTTGAACTATTTGACCCATTGCGGTGTGCATTGAGCTAATTTGACCTGCTACTCTAGCCAATTCCTTCACATGCACTATGTCGTTATTACTTTGCATCCTGTCTAATAGATTCTCTATGTTCTTCTTCAACTTCCCCACTCTTCTCTGAGAGATATACACTTTGTTTTCTGAGGTTACCCAATCTAATCCCAACCACGTCTGTCTCGTTGTGGGATTCCAATTGCATTTTTCCTCCGCTATTAGAAAACCCAACTGTTTTAACTCTTCCCTGATCTGTCTGCTTAGTGTAATAGCAGACATCCTATCTTTGCAAATTACCAAGCCATCATCCAAATACATAATCACATTATTTCCCTGCGATCTCCAATGAGCAATTACAGGCCTTGTCAATTTTGTGAAAATATAACCTGCTGTGGAAATACCAAATGGTAGAACATTGAATATGAAATATCTCTTTTGATCTTCGTAATCCCAAGAGAAACCTAGATAGGTTCTGTGTTCTCTGAATATCTCAACATGATGGTAAGCAGATTTCAAGTCAAAAGTGAACATATAATCATCTTCTTCTATCATTTCCTTTGCTATATCCTCACCTTCATATCTTACCTTTTGCTTAAAAAGATGTGGATTTATGTTTCTACAATCCAGAACTAATCTCGGTTTTTCTTTGTTTCCTGCAACTGTCAGTGGATTTATTACTTCAGGTTTTTGGAAAACTTCCGTAACACATCCTTTCCTTGTTAGATTCTGTATTTCCTTTCCTACAAATTCTGCGTTTTGAATAGCAGACCTATTATTCTTACTTTCGGTTTTCTTGGGGCGAGTTATGAATGGTATTTTATACCCTTCAGAAATGATATCCAATATGAATTCGTTAGTTCCGATTTCTTTCCATTTATCTTTTGCCGATTTAAGCCTTCCAACCGGAGTAACAACTTTGCAATTCTTTTCAGAATTTAGCCTTGACTCTGTGGAGTCATTCTTGTCTGCAAATGCATTCCTCTTATGAACCTTCATATCATTCAACTGAATATCAAATGAATTTTTACTTATCTTTTCATTTCTTGCTTCTCTGCTTGATGCCAGCTCCCTGCATTCGAACCTCCAATGCCCGAATTTACCACAGGCGAAGCATGCTCCCGTTTTCCTCTTGAAATCCCATCCCTCTGTCTTGGAGCTAGGATTTGACCATGGCCTTGAAGACTGCTGAGATGCTGGTTGACGATCTGTTGGATAGGGACGTATCTGATTGCGTGCAGCTATCTTCCTTCGAGGCGCTTGATTCATCTTGCGTTTTGCTCTGGCCTCCGCCTTCCAGATTCTTTTCTCGTCGTCCGAATCCCGAGCGAGGCTATTGGTTTCATATTCAGAAACTGTAAGCCATCCGAAAGGTGATTGATCAGCAAGCTTGATGATTTTCTGCCTATGCTCTAAAATGTCTTTACCTTCGGCGATTTTGTTCTGTGCTGCCGTAGAAGCTCTGCTCAAATCTGCGTCTTTCTTCAGCAAAGATTCTGCTTCAGACAACTTCTGATAAACCTTGGTATTGCTCTTGTACTGCTCCTCGTTTCCCTCCTTTTTAAACTTGTACGTCGTGTTGGTTATTTCCTCCATCTTTGATAGCTGTACTTCGCTCATAGCCATTTGTGAATCGTTTATGTCCTTCTGGAAATGATTAAGCTTATCTGAAACAAGCGTTTCTAATTTATCCAGTAATGTATTCTGTGAATCCCTCACTTCGCCGCGGACAAGCTCGGCAATGTCCATCGGCTCCATCGTATAGTCGCTGTCGCTCCTGGCTCGGTCCCCGTAGTCGTGTCGTGTATCTAGTGTCTGACAAAGCTAGAATGGCTACCACGCCCATTTCCCTCTCTTATTATGCCTTTCTGAACATTCCTTTCCTTCTCAAAACAATAACTTACACCTGCCTAAGTTATTCAAACCATCCCGCTTCGCGGAATCGTGGCGTCTCGCCACTCCCATTACGTAATCATTAAACGGATCCGCATATACAACATTTTCCTGCTATACGTTGTACCGCAGGAAAATACAAAGATTTGTGTGTACTTATTAATAAATTCGATGAAATATATTTAGGCTTTGGCATACTCTAAAATAAGATATCAACGACATTCGAGCTACCGTATGTAACATATTTATACCCTGACATATAGGCCGATTTTGTACTGTTTAAATAAGCCGATCATGCTATGAATTTGGTATAGATTGGTGTAGAATACAAAAAAATGTGTTTAATTTGAAACATGAATAATAACAAAATCACTAGATAAAAATATATGAATAAAGGTTTGGTTCAAGTCTGCGTATTGATTCAAATAATTCAAGAGAAACATTTTAGAATTATATGGAAGTTATGATATTCATCTACTCTACTACACTATCAGGTTGTCTTTTTGTTCATAAACTATGTTTTTAGGTTACCGCACATAACACATATTATCATGGCCGCTTGCTTTGCCTATAGTTTAAGATGTGATGAGTCATATCTTTTGAAGGCCAATTAATGTTTGAGTGCTCCATAGAATTTTCATTGTCAGCCACCTCTCTGCCCACACTAACTAAATCTGAAGGACCAGGAAGTTCCCGGAAGTAGGTTTCCCATCCTTTGAGATCAAGATGACCACACTGTAAGATTGACCGTAAAGTAATCGAGTCAACTGAGGGAAGGGAGCATGATGACGACTGTTGTCCTTGGATGAGCTTATGAAATAATTTCTTGTCAGTGGAATTTGCAAATTCTATGTCATGCACTAATTTCATTTTGGTATTTTTTATTACTCATTTCATGCTCATGTCATGCTCGTGTCATGTACTGCATCGAATGCAGAGCTGATTCCGGGAGAGCGCGCATAAGATGACTGCAGCAGTTGATCTGGATTACGGTAAAGAAAGTGACCGCATCGACATACATGACATAAAGAGTATATTTCACAAGCTATAACTCATTACTAAAGCAATATCAGATTTTATCATTTTTCGACAATGGGTTACTCTCATCAAAAGCTTTTAATACAATGATGTACAGCTTGTCATTATTTGAAGGGGGAAGGGTGTTATATAGCTATAATGTGAGTCCGTGCATCAATAGGCCCTATGCATTTATGATCATAATCATGGACAAGCCTTGGCCTTGATTAGTCCTTACCTTACGAGAGATCATGCTTTACTTTTTATAAATTCAATCATGTACGTCACAATGACAATTGCCTACGACAGCGACACTGGAGTGTCGCCCGCTGACTGTGAGTCAGCACATGTATTATATACACCCTAAGGCCATTTTTGTAATATGTAATCAAATTTAATGCATAAATCTTTGTTAAGTGCCAAATAATTGTATTTCAATAGTCAGTATGCGAATTGTATACACTCTGTGTTGTCAGGCAGGACAAGCCATAATGTTTGTCCTACCTAGCAACAACTAATGTATGCAATTTGTATTCTGTTGAAATACAATTATGTATATGTTGACTTTTTTCAAAGTCTAATACATACCAAAATATGCTAATAGTTAATTTTCATTGGATTTAAAAACTAAATATAGTCTATACTATAATTTTATATTAAGATATTATAAATATGCAACAGCGTTTTATTGAACAAACAGCAAAGCAAAACAAAACAAACCGTTCATTCATTACAAGGACACCAAATACTTTGTATGTTATACATATTCTTACTCGTTCTTTGTTGCTGTTATGAGTTTAGGTTCATGATTTTGTTATTTTTTGTTTAACTATTGTTTCTTATTATGTTTAACAAGGCCTCATGGAAGACCACTATTATTGATGAAAATGAGTTACCCTATCTAAATATCAGAAATAAATAAATAAATAAATAAATTTGTAACAGGTGGATGAAATAATTTGTAACATGGCACTTACCCGGTAACAAAGATATATGCATTAAATTTTAATACTTAACAAAAATGGTCTATTCTAGCTCCACTGACCATAACTGTAGTAATGTAGCATTGAGCATCGTTCGTAATAATTTCACAAGCATGTTTTCTTTGTGGAATAGTTTCACTTATGATTTATTTATACATCTGCATATCCTTCTTTACATTACATAGTTTGAATATAATATAGAAACAAGTACAAGCAAAACATAATACTAGCTATGAACACAATACATTTGGATAAATAGAGGTGTTGTGGTCCAGTGGATAAGTCTCCGGACCTTACCGTCTCCTCCGGACAAGGTAAGGGATTTGAATCTTAGTTGACTAACGTCCTTTGGCAAGACGTTAATTATATTTGCTTAATATCAATCTGTTAAGTCTAGATATAAAAACCAGGGAAACGCTCTCGGCGGTCTCGCCTGCATTACGCAATTCTATATGATGAAAAATTGAGGTTGGGACATTATTTATAGAAAGGGTGGCCATTAGCAGGCCCCCAAAAAATGAAATCCTCTGAATATAATCAGCATTTTGAAGTGAATATTGACTATGAATCATCAGAAAAATTATTTATTGTAATTTGTACCAAGATTGATAACTTTAATGGAATATGAATAATTAAAAAAAATTGATTCTCATATTAAGTTGTGAAAACATAATCCCAAGTCTACTGACCTAAAATGACCCTAGACCTTGACTTTGTGACCTGGAATTATGTCATGTGATTTGTGATACTTGATAACCCTTGTGTACAAGTTTCATGGAATTTGAACACTTTTGAAATTATGCTAAAAATTAAAAATCTTGATGTTGATGCCACAACAAAGTCTAAGTTTGCAGACCTGAAATTACATTTGACCTTGACTTTGTCACCTACAAGACTTATAACATGATTGATGATACTTGATACCCCCTATGTTCGAGTTTCATGGAATAGGAATGTATATATATACTTTCAAAATTATGATAAAAAATCAAAATCTTAACCTGATGCCACAACAAATTCTAAGTTTGTTGACCGGAAATGACCTTTGACCTTGACTTTGTGACCTGAAATTCTCCTCACATGATCGGGGATACTTGATGACCATTTAGTCCGAGTTTCATTGAATAAGAACTTATATACTTTCAAAATTATATTAAAAATTCAAAAACTTTACCTCAGGTTAAGTTTTTGATGTTAACGCCGCGGCCACCGGAAAAGCGGCGCCTATGTCTGGCTTTTTGCTACGCAGGCGAGACAAAAACGGGGGAGAAAGTTTTTGTACAAAAAGTGGTACAAAATCGGCTCAATCTCCCCCCTTGTGCAAGCCGTATGGGTTACCGTCTGTGTATGTTATGGGGAACGTTGACAAATGTCAGTTTGATTAAAGAATGACCCATACTAGACGGTTATTTCTGTCTCAACCCAGACATGCCGTGTCAGGACAGGTTGTGTATCTGGACTAGCCACTAAGTGATGATGTAAAATATGATACAGATATCACATCACTTAGCCCGGCTTAATTAGTAACTTAGTTAAGGCTAATCTCGACAGTTGATTCAAAACGTTTTTTGAAGAATGCAATATTTCATACATATTTTAAAAATAATGGTATAAAATATCATAAAGATTAAAGGATGAAATTTATGAGGGTTAGTGTTATTTGATGCATACATTTCGTTAAATCCATCGACACTCAACCCCCATGACCCATCAGACAACAACTGACCCCCATCATATAACAGCCAACGAGGAACTATAGTACTAGTAGTAGGTCTAGTACCGTTAGAAATACGTCAGTAGTAGTACTAGACTACTACTATAGTACTAGCAGTAGTATAACATCATTTACTTACCTTGTTTCAGTCGATCTGATCAGGTTTCCAAAGACAGCATGTCGTCGACAGACTTATCTACATCTACTGCCACTGAAGAAAGATCTTAAAATGTATTAATTAAGATCATGCAATCACTGAATCTAACTAGGAAGCAAGGTGCCGTGGCGTGGCTAACGTGCAAATTCCTGGCAGAAAAATGGCGATTGTACGATTGAGCGGGGCGGGTCGTCGGATATAGACTCCGATAGCTCTATACAAAACAAGAAACTGAGCGAATGAAAGGGGAATCCCCTGTTGCGCAATTCGTTTTCTTTTCTTTTTTCTTACCAATACTAGGCAATACAGCCTATTCTATATAGTCATTTCAGCAAGATGATCTTCTACTGTCTATTGCCCAGCGTTGACCAGACGGCCAACCTCTTTTGACGCGTATCAGGACAATTACCCCCTGGGCAATCACCCCCGGAAAATTACCCCCCGGAAAACTACCCCCCAAGGACAATTACCCCCTGGAAATTTACCCCCCGGAGAATTACCCCCCGAGGACAATTACCCCCCAAGGACAATTACCTCCGGAAAATTACCCCCCGGAGAATTACCCCCCGAGGACAATTACCCCCCAAGAACAATCACCCCCCGGAAAATTACCCCCCCGGAGAATTACCCCCGAGGACAACTACCCCCGAGGACAATTACCCCCCGAGGACAATTACCCTCGAGGACAACTACCCCCGAGGACAATTACCACCCGAGGACAACTACCCCCCGAGGACAATTACCCCCGAGGACAACTACCCCCGAGGACAATTACTACCCGAGGACAGCTACCCCCCCCCCCCGAGGACACCCCCCCCCCCCCCCTCGAAACACCATTACCGCGGCCCGAGGACAATTACACCCAGGGAATTTGTAACACTGTGACGTATAATGCGAGCTCCTCTTCAAAATGCTATTTAGAGAAAATGTCATGAACTTTCATTTTCTTAGTTATTTATGACGGAATAGATTTGTTTCGTACAGGGGTTGTGTATAAATTATATTTATATTCGTAGCTCACATTCAAAGCCCTCGTACCCATCTGCCAAATCTTTTTGCTTGACGTACATGTATCCTCCTAGGAGGAGATTTCACCCACCCCTCTCGCTCTGTATCCATTCCACCTTTGTGAAGTTTGACTTAATATGCCACGTGTATTGAATCAAATTCAATTGCCAGAAGACGCATGTATAAAATCGAATTCAATTGCCAGAAGACGCATGTATCAAATCAAAGTACGGAATTTACATGTCTTAGAAATTTAA